GGGGGGGCCCAGATGCAGCCCCTGCCCTTGGGGGAGCTGGTGGGGCTGGAGGAGTGAGGCCTGGCTCCACATGGGGAGGTGCAGGGCCCAGAGTGGGGAGAGGATGCCACTGGCCAACTTGGAAGGCTGCCTGGAGGCAGAGGCCAGGGAACTGGGCCTTGTGGGTGGGAGGATTTATACTAAGAGAAGGAGGGGCAGGCATTCCACCTGAGGGAGGTGCTTAGCAAGGTGCAGAGGAAGAAATGTGCAGAGACAAACGAGGAAAACAGCACAAAATGCTGGTGGACGAGAGCATGGATGTGACCCCGAGAGAACAAGCTTCATGAGGGCAGGGCTGTGTCTGCTTTGTCCACTACCATGTGTCCCCAGCTCCAAGCACAGTGCCTGGCACACAGCAGCCTTTCCATGAAGCTTGGCTGAGTGGACACAGGACCAACAGACAAAGAGGTAAAGCTGAGCAGGGGCCTCGGAGAAACCATGGAGGGCAAGCACATCTCTTGGCCTTACTTGGAAGGCCGCAGAGGCCAGGGATATTTTCAGGTGGTTTCCTCACCAGGGATTAACCGATTTATTCCTCCTCGCTATGAAACGGATTCTAAGGGACCTTCCAGGTGGGGTGTCCTGGAGCCTGGGCCTGTGATAAGGGCCTCAAGAACTTTATGGTGCTGTGTGGACTCTGCAGGGATCTGTTAGGAAAATCAGGACTGCTCCCTGGAGGAGGCAGCAGTGAGGCAGAGCTCTATGGAGGGGCCATAGGGGATAGGGAATTCCTGCTGGAAGAAGGACAAGGGCACAGGCAGGGAAACAAGCCAGCCCCGGGCCTGTTAAAAGAACAGTCAAAGCGAAATTAGATCTGAGTGGGAGGAAGCGCGACGGTGACTCCCTGTCTCAGTACCTGACTCAGGCCAGCCAGACACACTGCCCAGCACCTGCCACTCCTGCCCCGCCTGGAAATTGCAGCTGTAGGGAGTTGCTTTGGGATAAAACCAGCTGGAAGCCATCAACACCCTCATCTACCCACCCCGCTCAGCCTGAAGGGGCTGGGTTCTGGGTCCCTTACCCTGAAAGGGAGGAAATGAGGGTTCCTGCCCCATCCTTGGCTCTACTGTGGGCTGGGGAGGGACCAGGGATGCTGCTATCACAATGCCAAGAACTCAGCCCCAGGCTGCAGAGCAGGGGACAGGTTGCTGGGGTGGAAGCAATTTATCATCTTCAAACTGCACATGACAGT